CTGAGCCTGTGTCCTCTAGAGCCTTTGAGCCACAAGGGAAGATGCTGTATCCCGAAACTAAGACGTGACAGGAAGTGAAGCGAACTCAAAGTCGCTCAGTCCTGTCCCACTCTTTGCAACCCCATAGACTATACAGTCCATGGAATTCTCCAGGCCAGAATACTGGCGTGGATAGCCATTCCCTTCTCCAGGGGAATCTTCTGAACCCAGGGATCGAACCCAGGCCTCCTGAATTGCAGACGGATTCTTTACCAGCTGAGTCTCCAGGGAAGCCCAAGGCCTGACGTAGCCAAATATATATATATATATATATATATATATATATATATATACATATATATATATATATATATATATATGTTTTAATGCTGATACAAACCTGGAGAGGTATTCCAGTCAAATTGATTTTCTGACTCAGAATATGTGGTTTGAAAAATACTATGGTAAGTGCTGTATGAAAAATTTTTTGGAAAACCTCAACAATAAAAAAGTTAAATAAGTATATGCATCTCATCTTAGAAACTTAACATGAGGTAGTGCATTGAAAATCTCAAAAAAAGGGGCGGATTATATGGAATAGTTCCTAAATTCACTCGAGCATCTCTATCCTCTTGTGGAATGGACACTAATTTGGGAAATCTTATCCTATAGTGTTAAGACCTTAAGGGCAGGGACAAAGTGGGGGTTAATTTACTTTATATTTTGTGCATTCTTAGTCACACAGTCTCTTCTGACTCTGTGACCCCCCTGGACTGTAGCCCGCCAGGCGCCTCTGTCCATGGGATTTTCCAGGCAAGAATACTGAAATGGGTTGCCATGCCCTCCTCCAGGAGATCTTCCCGGTCCAGGGATCAAATCCACGTCTCCTGAATGGCAGGTGGATTCGCCATCGCTATGCATGAACATTTGTGTCACATTTTTTTTTAATTATTTTTTTAAATTTTTTCATTTATTTTTATTAGTTGGAGGCTAATTATTGTGTCACATTTTAAAATAACTGATTGAAGGAGAGTCCCTTCCAGAGAAGGGGAGCACCCAGGACCCCCAAGCCCTGGCCTGGGGAGAGGTATTCCAGGTACCTAGGTTGGTTGAGGCACTGACTTTCTGCCTCTCTAAATCCCGCTCCACTTGGCCTTCCCTGACAGTGCAGTGGATGGTAGTTCATCTGACAGTGCAGGGGGTGGGGGTTTGAAGATTCCACGTGCTTCAAAGCAATTAGGCCCGTGGGCCACAACTACCGAGCCTCAGTATGGCAGCTACTGAAGGCCACATGCCTAGAGCTCGTGCTCCCCAGCAAGGGAAGCCCACACACCACAAGAGGAGCCCCCTACTTGCCACTAGAGAAAAGTCAGCGCAAGGCATTGAAGACACAGCGCAGCCAAAAATAAATCAATAAATAAAATTATTTAACCCTCCCCCTGAAATACTGAAAAGTATAGAAACTGACTCTAAGAATGAATGATTCCATAATGGGTAAACAAGCAAATAATAAAACAAGTTTAAGAACACAGACACATGGGGACAAGCATCTAAACAAATCTGAGTGATGCTTATTTTTGTGGCCAGCAGACATATGGAAATTAAAACAGAAAAACCACTTTTAGAATAGAGTTGAACTTCAGCATGACACACCTTCTTCAGGGTAACTGTGAATATTTTTTCATAACAACAGGATTAGAGTCAAATCTTAATTCCTGGTTCTATTAAGGCTGATCTCTACTTTCTTCTAATTAAGGGTAATTGCCACTAAGTACTATCTCTGCAGGAAATGGGGGTGGGGTAGAATTTAAAGCTGCAGGGTCCAGTATGGTAGCCACAAGCCCCGTTTGGCTATTTAAATTAATTTAAATGAAATAAACTTTAACATTCAGTTCTTCAGTTATACTAGAGACATTTCAAGGATTCAACAGTGACGTGGGGCTCTTGGCTACCAGGTTGGGCAGACTGTAGAACATTTCCATCATTGTGGGAAGTTTTATTGGACAGCACTGATCTAGAGAAAAGCCATTCACAGATGTTAAAAAGAAAATTATCCATTTCTCCCTTCATAAAGAGTTCCAAATGCTACCTAACGGAGCTGGCGTGACTTAAAATACTGTTGGGTTGAATGTGAAGGTTACTGCCAAAGATTTCATTATTATTTCAAAGTATCATTCCAGTTGGCCAAATATCTCTTTGCATTAAGATTTTCCATTTCCACAAGTTATCTTTCAAAATTCATACATGCCAGGAAATGATATTTGGTGATAATAATAACTTGTTAAAGTTCTACTAATTTATGAGCTAGTGCTAAGAGCAAACTATGAAGGAAAAAAATTAAACCATAAAGATACATGGCACCATTAGCTCTGAGAATAAGAGTTTATAGTTAAAACAAGTAGGGATGCCCTTAGGATAAAGAAAATATTTATTACACACATGGGTCTGTTTCTAGCCTTTTCATGAATTTAGACTCAGATTCTGTAACATTTGGTTTTTGCATCACATGTTGAGAACTTTAGCTCATATATTATTTGAGCTTCACACCTAATCAGCACTCTAGCGTGGATTCTGAATGTTGTAGATTCTTCTCCTGAAGGGGAAAACAGAGGTCATGCATTATCTTGTCAGTGTCTGTCTTGCTTAGTCAGTTACTGAACTGATCCCAAGCGGCCAGATTACGCTGAAACCAAATGGCTAGGATTGCAGGGGCCAGCTAGCTTTTCGTCCTTCATGTCTCCAGGCTGCCCTGCTAAGCTGGCCACTGTACTGCATAGGTATGCCTAGATCACAGGGAAAACAAAGAAGAAAGACCCACAGGAGTGTCAAGGCAAGTGCCATCACTCCTGATGATCACAAGCAGATAAAGTGAGTACAAGAAAACCCTGCAAGGTCATCATAAGCATGACCACGGTAGTTCTAAAACAAAGCCTAAATATAAGGCATTACTATGTTCATGCCAAAAAAAAAAAAAAAAATTACTCCACAGAGTAACCTATCTCCCCCACAAAGCAACTGGGGAAAGGCGTTTGATGAGAAATATATGAGTTAAGCAACTGCTATAAAGACACTTTAAGGTCAATTTAAATAATCCAAACAAATTGCCTTCAGCTAAATGGCAGGTTATAATAAACATGCGTTTCCCAAATACTTTAAGATGTTTGTTCAATGTCATAACATCTACCAACTGTCATTATTGTTAGCAAAACTTCTTCATCCTTTTATTTACCATGTCCAGTTTATGAACTTCCAACTTGGGGAGTTTGCAAAATATTTATTAAATACTGTATAAATAAAAACCACCATTAAAATTCTTATGCTTATGCCTTGAAGATTAAACTCACATTTCTAGCTATTAAGAGATGGTAGCTATAGTTAATCTTAGAAACATGGTGTTTCTGGGACACATGGAAGAAAAAGTTTGGGATTTAATGCACGAGAGCCAAAATTGTAAAATACTTTGATCTGCAAATATCACATTTTTTATGATTAAAAAAACTAACAATTTTTCCTTAAAAACTTTAAGTAGGTCAACGTATTAACTGTTGCCATGGAGTTTATACATTCACATTTGCCTATCCTTTTGATGAACTGCAGCCCAGGATGGAGTTACAGCCCTGCATTATTAAAAAACCTGCCTTTGATTCAAGCACAGAAACGGAGAAGGAGAAATTAATATTACTGTTTAGGCTGTGTTATTGTAATTGATCCAAGAACTTAAAAAATATATTATTAGTATATTTGGTCGCCTAACAGGACCTCTCCTGGTCTCCCACAGGAAGTGGGAACCGGTTCACTCCAGGAGAAGGGTTTCCATCCCAGCTGGGCTGTGTTCTCACATTTGTAGTCACAATCCTGGCTGGACAGGGAAAGACAGTCTGGCTGGGAAAAAACCTGACTTAAAAAAAAAAATTCAGGTTAGTGTCGGGGATATAAGTGCTGTGGAGGTAGGTGGACGGAGGAGAGGGATGAGTAGAAAAAGGGAATATGGATTCAGAATGGGAAAATAACCCTCTGGTTCTCCGTTGGATTCGTTTAAGGAGGAGAGAATCGTTCCACAACGGCTCTCTCCATAATCCACAGCTAATCACTCTTTTATTGCAGCGAAGGATCAGACGGCCTCGGTCGTCACCCACTCACCGGCGTCTCGCCGGAGAAACCGAAAATCCCATTTCCTCCTCAAGGAGCACCGGGGAAGGACGGCGAGGGTGTTGATTTTCGAGTGGAAGGCTGCGCACAGGGCAAGGCAACTTAGAGCCCCTGCCCGGCTCCCCGCGCCAGCCCGCCGCGGCGAACGGGAAAGTGGAGAACGACGCGCGGCGCGGAGACCCGGGAGGCCGAACTTGGGGTCGCTTCCCACCCGCCTGCCCCCGACCACCACCGAAGGCCCGGGCACCCGATGGGGCGGCGGGCGGGGACACCTGTCAAAGGAACCGGACCCGAGCCGCAGCCGGCGGGCGGCGCCGGGGCCCGGCGGACGGCACTGCGGCGGCGGCGGCGGGGACCGGGAGCGCCGGCGGCCACCGCGCCTCGTTCGGGGCGTGCGCCCGCGGGGGATCGGGGGGCGGCCTCGCGCCCAGGGCGCTCCGGGGAGGGGGCTTAACCGAGCAGGGCCCCGCGGCCGGGAGGACCCCGCCGCCCGAGCCCCTCTGCGGCTCCCGCCGCCCCCGGGGTCTCCGCCTCGGGGCTGGACGCGGAGCCGAGCCCGATGACCCCGGGTTGCCCAGCGGCCCCGCGCGGAGGAGGGGGCGCCGCGCCTACCTGCTCCCGGTGCGGCGGGGCCGCGGTCGCCTGGCGGGGCCGTGACCTGCGGCGGCGGCAGCAGCAGTCGCGGCGAGGAGGGCGCTTCCTTCAGGAAGGGGTGGGATCTGCCCGCCCGCCCGCCGCGCCGCGCCGCGGCCCGCCCCTGACTAATTCTGGGGTCCCGGCTGCCAGGCCACCCGGGGAGACTCCCCCAACCTCACCCCCGCTCTCCCCACCCCGGGTCTCCGGCTCCCACCACCCCTCGGGGCCCCGCGTGGTTACCCGGGGCTGGAGCCGAGCGGCGCCGGTGGGACCGCTTCTTTCGCCTTTGTGGACGCGATCGCCTGGCGCTCGCCGCTCACCCAACAAAAGGAAGGACGGAATCTGGGATCCTCCGCCTGGCGGTTATTTATTCCTGACCTGTTGTAACCTTCTGGCCGGCTCCCTTCGGTCCACACACCTAGGGCTTTTGCACAGAGCAGCTAAAATTCATTTTCGTGCCCATCGGCTGAATGCAGTTCGCCGCCGCTCGGCGCTCTCCCGCGGTTTTCTTTCATCGGGAAGAACAAACACAGGGCCAACTTCTGACCCTGGCGAAGAGCGGCACTCCAAGGGCGCCCTCCCAGCGACAGTTTGCTGTCTTCCTCCCAAAGTCTCGTCTCTTTTAAAACTGTCTTCATCGGCATTTGAGTAGCTTACCCCACCCGGGATCGCAGCCTATCAGGGGCACCATGTCGGTGACCTCTGGCAGCGGCGTGGTAATTATTTTTATCACGCGCTCACGGGTTAACTTCTCTTCCAAAGGCATCCTTACGGTGCTCCCACAAGAGAACCCCCTTTATTAACCTGCGTTAGGCTGACCTCGGTTCTTTTGCGGGGCGGGGGCGAGGCGGGGGACGGTCTCCCGGGGGGCTCCCTACCACACCTGCCACTTCTCTGCTGCCTCTCAAAGCACGTGGTTCAAATCCTCCAATTCAACCTTCCAGAACTGTTCCTTCCTCCACGATATACTATTCCCCCACAATACACTATTATCTGTGCATTGATTTGTTTTTGATGTTTTCCCCTGGCTACTAGACTGTGAGCTTCTTGAGGCCAGGAATTTGGCCTCTTCTGTTTCCCTTCCCTTAAGGTTAAAACCTCTGGGTAAAACAGCCAAACCAAAAACTTGAAATCCCCTGCTGCATCTTGTAGGGGTGAGTCTCTGCCCATTTTTCACCAGTGGGAGCTTTAAAAAATAGAAACACCTCAATCTACCTCAGACCCCACTAAGTCTGAACCTGGGGGTGGGGAATGTTGAGCAGAGAAGAGCAAACCCAGCAAGGCTATGTTTTTTAAAAAGAGCCAAAGGGCCGAGACTAACATGCCCAAGACTAACATGACCAAGACTAAGTTATTGCCTTTCTTTGAAAGGTTCCCTATTTTTAAAATGTCCTGACTTTTCTTTGTCTTTATGGAAGGATTGAGAACCCTTACACTACGGTAAAGTTATTTGAACATTTTCATTTTCACTTAAAGCCAGGCCCACTTGTGCTTAAGAAACAGACTTGAATATGTGGCATCAGGCTCAGCGCCATTTGTCAGCAGCACTAAATCATTGCCAGTTTCATCCCTAAAGCGTCCATCCAAATGTTAACTCAAAGAGTGGAATAAATTACCTTCCAGACTGGGATATTGACAGCTGAAATATTATGTTAAGATGCTGGCTATGAAGGAGAGTTGGTTGTTATAAGCAGATTCCATTAATGTCACGAGAGTTCTAGTGAAGCTTCAAGAGAACTGAAGACAAACAAAATAGAAGTTTATCTATGCTTTGATCTTTCTTTTATTGGTCTTGGTATCCCACCCGTGAAAAATTCATCCACAATGTACTCAATATAATCTAGATATATTAAATCATCTATGGGTGTAAGAGTAAAAAGCTATCCTGGAGCTGGTTCTCTTTTTTAAAAATGTATTTAAAGATCCATCCTTGGGACTTGCCTGGTGGTCCAGTGGTTAAGAATCTGCCTTCCAATGCAGGGGACGTGAGTTTGATCTCTGGTTGGGGAACCAAGATCCCATGTTGCCTCAAGGCAATTAACCCCATGCTCCACACAAGAGAAGCCCACATGTCACAACAAAGACCCAGTGCAGCTGAAAAAAAAAATCCAACCTGTATTCTTTTTTTAAAAGTTTCTTTAGTTGTTAATTAATTAATTTTATTTTTATTTATGTATTTTTGGTTGCATTGGGTCTTTGTTGCTATGAGCATGCTTTTTCTCATTGCAGTGAGCAGGAGCTACTCTGTTGCCTCACACAGGCTTCTCGTTGTGGTGGCTTCTATTGCAGAACACAGGCTCTAGGCTCACGGACTTCAGGAGTTGCAGTCTGAGGGCTCAGTAGTTATGGCACACAGGCGTTCGTTGCCTGCAGCATGTGGAATCTTCCCAGACCAGGGATCGAACCTGTGTCCCCTGTGTCGGTAGGCAGAGTCATATCCACTGTACCACCAGGGTAGTCCCATCCTGTATTCTAACACAATCTGTTAACAACAGAGCAAATAGAACTTAAGACCCAGAAATGAGAGGCTAGCATAAACCTGGTGAGTAAGATGGTGATTGGTACTCAGGGACAGGATCATATCCCAGGACCACCATGTGGTACCGTGATTCTGACCCCATGGTGCTCTGCCAGGTCCACTGACCTGACTCACAGCACAGGCATCCTGCATCTGAGTTGGGGTGGTGGCTTTTCATATATAAGAGAACTTGTTATCTAACTGAAGCCACTACAGAACATTTAGGGGGAAAAAAATTCTCAATTCTCATTTCCTTTCTCTCACCAGCCAATTTATTGTTGCTTAAGATTCAAATCATTTTCTTTCTTCAGTTGGCAAAACAGACTTGAGAAGCACAACTCATAAATAACACTCCCAGGATTCTGGGAATCCTGCTGCTGGTTCAATTGCAGTGAATCTCGTTATAGTAATAATCTCTGTGTAACAAAATCATCGCCAAGCTTCATCCAGCCGCTGATCATTCAGGTCATCTTTGGTGAAAAACACCACCATACAAAGTTCATTGAAATGGTATTTGATCTTTACCAGCATCTACTTTGGCCACCTGATAGGAAGACATGACTCATTGGAAAAGACCCTGATGCTGGAAAAGATTGAAGGCAAGAGGAGAACGGGCGACAGAGGATGAGGTGGTTGGATGGCATCGTTGTCTCAATGGATATGAGTTTGGGCAAACTCCAGGAGCTAGTGAAGGTCAGGGAAGCTGCAGTCCATGGGGTCACAAAGTGTTGGACACGACAGAGAGACTGAACAACAAAACAACTTGTTAAAGAAAACCTCATGGGGTAATTGGAAAGCCAGTGAAAAAACATGGGGTAACAGGATGTTAAATGTGAGCTATTATTTTATTTCCACTTTGACAGTGGCCCCAGATAATAGTTGCCAACCACTCTCACATTCCAGACGAAGTGCAGAACCACCAAGTAAGGCTTAGAAGGAGTGTTCCCTTAACCTCTCACTCACCTTGAAGGTATAAAAGGGTTGAGGTGGAAGCTGCTGAAGAAGGATTTCTGTGGAAGGAGTTGTAAGTGTCCTAAGCGGCCCTCCTGTGCAGCCGCTAGCGGGAGGGCGAAGAAGGCTCTTCTCTCACCTGGAGACTGATGAAAGGGACTGAAAGCTTGAGGTGTGATGCCTGCAATTTGGGGAAACGCCATGGACCGTTGTCTGGCTCATGCCTGAGAAATCTAAAGGGCCAGCGTTGGCAAAAGTGGCCTGAACAGAGGGTAGGGACTCTGGTAGGGGAAGTAATTTACACCCACGGAAGACAAGTCTGAGATAGTGAGACAGTGTGGGCTTGACTTTGATCAAGAGGACTGCTTGGAAGGGCAAAGAGACCTCAGCAGAAAGAAGCCGGAGGTTTGCCTCCGGAAGTCCACAGCCTAGGCAAAAGAATCTCAGGCAACCAGTCAAAAGCAAAATGAACTTGCCCATGCCAAGGAAAGGAGTGGTGAGAGGCTTCCCAGTAGAGTGCTGGTGGTGAGGGTGGTTCTGACAAACGCATGAAAGCACTGATGAGAGAGAGAGTGTCACCTCTGCGGCCAGAGGAAGCTCTGCCCACCTGCAGCCAGCTTTCTGCCTCCTTAGCTCTCTCTCTTCACCACTTTCCTCCTGGAGGAGTCAGACAGCCTCCCTCAGGTGCAGGAAGTGCACCCCGCAAAAGTGTGGGGTTTTTATCATTACACTATACCACCAGACATATTAATTACTGATATAAGACTATTTTTTAAAGCAACATATGCAATCTATTTTAGCAGCTAATGACTTTTTAAAAAATATATTTGTTCATTTGGCTGCATCAGATCTTAGTTGTAGCCCACAGGATCCTTGCTGGACCCTCTAGTCATGCCACGTGGATTCCAGAACTTAGTTCCCTGACCAGGGATAGAACCTGCGTTCCCTGCATTGGAAGGCAAATTCTTAACCACTGGACCACCAGGGAAGTCCTGGTATAAGACTATTTTTGACTATACGTAATGAGAAGCCTTTTGTTTTGTGTGTTTTTTAAATTGAAGTATGGCTGTTTTCCCTGATAGCTCAGTTGGTAAAGAATCTGCCTGCAATACAGGAGACCCCAGTTCGATTCCTGGGTCAGGAAGGTCTGCTGGAGAAGGGATAGGCTACCCACTCCAGTATTCTTGGGCTTCCCTTGTGGCTCAGCTGGTAAAGAATCCACCTGCAATATGAGAGACCTGGGTTCGATCTCTGGGTTGGGAAGACCCCTGGAGAAGGGGAAGGCTACCCACTCCAGTATTCAGGTCTGGATAATTCCATGGACTGTATCGTCCATGGGGTCACAAAGAGTTGGACACGACTGAGCGACTTTCACTCACTCACTCATGGTTGATTTACAATGTTTCTGGTGTACAGCAAAATAATTCAGTTATACGTATTTATGGGGAAAAGGCAATGGCACCCCACTCCAGTACTCTTGCCTGGAAAATCCCATGGACAGAGGAGCCTGGTAGGCTGCAGTCCATGGGGTCGCTAAGAGTTGGACACGACTGAGCGACTTCACTTTCACTTTTCACTTTCATGCATTGGAGAAGGAAATGGCAACCCATTCCGGTGTTCTTGCCTAGAGAATCCCAGGGATGGGGGAGCCTGGTGGGCTGCCATCTATGGGGTCACACAGAGTCGGACATGACTGAAGCGACTTAGCATACGTATTTATGAATATTTTTCAGATTCCTTTCCATTGTAGGTTGTTACAAGTTAATGAATATGGGTCACTGCGCTATACGGTAATTCTTGTTGGTTATCTATATTATATCTATTAGTGGGTATATGTTAATCCCAAACTCCTATTTTATCCCTCTCCTCCCCCTTTCCTCTTTGATGACCATGAGATTGTTCTCTATGTTTGTGAGTCTCTTCGTGTTTTATAAATAAGTCTTTTTATATCATTTTTTAAAGTTTCTACATATGAGTGTTATCTTATGATATTTGCCTTTTTCAAAGACTTTTTTTCCTTAAATTTATTTTTCAATTGAGAGTGACCCCAACATCACCACACCTACACATTAATTTATACAAGGGGCAGGAAAACAACTAGCCCCACAGAGCAAGTTTGAGCAGGCATGATAGAAGGCCATTGAGCTGTTTTCTGGTTACACCATGAGTCCCTCTGGGTCAATATATCAGCTATATATTCAAATATAATATGTTCCCTATTATGCCTTAAAACCTCTAGGAATGTCTCAAGTGGCCATCTTATCTGAATTACTAATAACTGGTATATGTCAAGAAAT